GTTCTCCCTGCCGCCATTCCCGGTGTGGGTTCCCGGTGTTCCTGCCCCCATTCCCAGTATTCCTGGTGTGGGTTCCCGCCCCCATTCCCGGTATTCCCAGTGTTCCCAGTGTGGGTTCCTGCCCCCGTTCCCGGTGTGGGTTCCCGGTGTTCCCGCCCCCATTCCCGGTGTTCCCGGTGTGGATTCCCGGTGTTCCCGCCCCCATTCCCGGTGTTCCTGGTGTGGGTTCCCGGTGTTCCCGCCCCCATTCCCGGTATTCCCGGTGTGTGTTCCCGCCCCCCTTCCCGCTGTTCCCGCACCGACGACGTTGGGGTGCCGCAGGTTGCGCAGGGTCCGGGCCTCGTTCCGGAGGCGCTGCTGGAAGAGGCTGCGCTGGATCCCGGAACAGCCGGAGTTGATTTTCTTCACGGCCCAGGGGGAGCGGGAACAGCCGCGGGGAGACCTGGGAACAGCCGGGAACAACAGCCGGAATGGCACCGGGAATAGACGGGGAATGAGGGGAAAAGCCTGGGATCCTGGGACAAGGCTGGGAATGAGGGAAAAACCTGGGAATCTGGGGAAATCGTGGAAATCCAGGAAAAGCCAGGGAATCCAGGGAAATGATGGGATCCTGGGAAAAGCCTGGGAATCTTGAAAAATTATGGGATCCTGGGAAAAGCCTGGGAATGAGGGAAAAGCCAGGGAATCTGGGAAAAGCCTGGGGTTCTGGGAAAATGATGGGATTCTGGGAGAAGGCAAGAAATCCAGGAAAAGCCAGGGATCCTGGGGAAATCCTGGGAATGCGGGGGAAGCCAGGGATCCTGGGAAAATCACGGGAGTCCAGGAAAATCATGGGGTTCTGGGAATGTGGGAAAAGCCAGGAATTCCAGGGATTCCCGGAAAAGCCTGGGAATGCCGGGAGTTTGCGTGGAATTCCCCGGGAGACTGGGAAGAGGATGGGATCCATGGGGGACGGGAAGGCTCCAGGGAATGGGAATTGGGATCCGCCTCCGTTTCCAGGCAGGGCTGGGCCTGGGGGAGGGGAGGAGGATTTTGGAGGCCAAAATCCCGGAATTCCAGCCGGGAAAGGGTGATCCCAAAAAAAAACTGAGGACAACATCCCGGAATTCCCAGGAAAGGAGCCCAAATCCTGGGATTCCAGGTGGGAAAGGGTGATCCCAAAATAATGGAGTCCAAAATTCCAGAATTTCCAGGAATGGAGCCCAAATCCCCAGAATTCCAGCTGGGAGAGGCTTATCCCAAAATTCCAGAGCCCAAATTCCCAGAATTCCCGGGAAAGGAGCCCAAATTCCCAGAATTCCCGGGAAAGAAGCCCAAATTCCCAGGAAAGGAGCCCAAATTCCCAGAATTCCCGGGAAAGGAGCCCAAATTCCCAGGAAAGGAGCCCAAATTCCCAGAATTCCCGGGAAAGGAGCCCAAATTCCCAGGAAAGGAGCCCAAATTCCCAGGAATTCCCAGGAAAGGAGCCCAAATTCCCAGAATTCCTGGGAAAGGAGCCCAAATTCCCAGAATTCCTGGGAAAGGAGCCCAAAATCCCAGGAATTCCCGGGAAAGGAGCCCAAATTCCCAGGAATTCCCAGGAAAGGAGCCCAAATTCCCAGAATTCCCGGGAAAGGAGCCCAAATTCCCAGGAATTCCCGGGAAAGGAGCCCAAATTCCCAGGAGTTCCCGGGAAAGGAGCCCAAATTCCCAGGAATTCCATCCAGGCCGGGCTCATCCCAGGGCCCTGCACTCCTTCCTGGCTCCATAAATCCCAAATCCCGGCTCCGAGGGGAGGAGAGCCGGGATCACCCCGGGATCGGCTCCGGGATTTCCCGGGATCACAACAATTCCCGGGATCACAATTCCCGACCTTTCCATCAGGTAGACGCTGACTCCGGTGCCGAATCCCAACTTCTGCATGAAGGGCGAGGCCGGGATGGTGATGGACGCCAAATTCCCGGGATCTGTGGGAAAATCCCGGGAAAACCCGGCTGGGATCGGGATCCGCCCTCCCTGGGGAATCCCGGGGAGAATTCCCGTTGGATATCGGGAATAATCCCCGGCGGGGTTTCCGTCCCCGCGCGATTCGGGGACGCGGAGCCGGGAATGGTCGGAATTCCAAAGGGTTTTGGTTTTTCCTGGTGTTTTCCCAAATTCTGGCTTCGTTCTTTGGATGTTCCCGAAAAAACGGAGCTCCGAAATCACCAAAAATCACCAAAATCGCCCAAAATCACCCCAAAATCACCAAAAATCACCCCAAAATCACCCAGAACCCCCCAAAATCTTCAGTTCCCCCCGCAAAATCCCTCCAAAAACCCCCAAAATCAAAATTGTCCCAAAAAATCACCACGAAACACCCCAAAATCGCCCCAAATCACCCCAAAATCACCAAAAATCGCCCCAAATCACCCAAAACCCCCCAAAATCTTCAGTTCACCCCTGCAAAATCCCTCCAAAAACCCCCAAATCAACCAAAATTGTCCCCAAATCACCCCAAAATCACAAAAATCACCAAAAAAAAAGGCCCCAAAACCCCCTCAAAATCATCAGCATCCCCCAAAATCCTCCTAATCGTCCCCAAAATGGTCAAAAATCACCCCAAAACCCCCCAAAATTGTCCCAAAATCAGCTCTGGCATCCCCAAAACCCCACAAAATCCCCCAAATTGCCCCAAAATAGCCCCAAATCAGCCCAAAATCTTCAGTCCACCCAAAGTAGCCCCAAAAATTATCCCAAAATCGCCCCAAAAATCATTAAAAAATAGTCCCAAAACCCCCAAAATCAACAGAAAAAAAACCCCAAAATCAGCCCTGGCACCCCCAGATCGCCCCAAAACCCCCAAATTCACCCAAACCCCCTGAAAATCGCCCCAAAAATCACCAAAAAAGCGCCCCAAAAACCCCAAAAAACCCAAAATCCCCCCAAATTTGGATGGGATAAAGGGCTGGGAAACTGGGAATTTAGGATGGGAATCCCATCCCAGGGATTTCCCACCCGGATCAAAGCGGGGGGAAGGGAGGGGAGGGGGGAGGGGCTGGCAGAGTTTTCCCGGGAATCTCCGGGATTTTCCCGGGAAAAGGCTGGCGGGAACATCCCGGGATTTGCTCACCC